TAGAAAAATGGGTGGTACGTACTACACTTCTTCCTCGCACCTCCACTTGAATAGACACATTTGTTAATCTCTTTTATAAGATTATGAGGTTAAAATCTTGCTGAGACACCATAAGTTTTTCTTTCTTATCTTAGGTGCTGACGGGTGGAGGGAAGAATCATAAGATGGGATTATTTGACAAGGTGATGATAAAAGATAAACATCTAGCTGCAGGAGGTATCGTAGACCAAAAAGATCTCGAAATGGACTTGGTGAGGTGAATCTTACAACCATTCAAATACTTAGCAGCTGAAAATTAGATGAGTTGTAATCACTGTATATATATATATCTTCTTGAAGGGGGAGACACAGATGCTGGAGGAAGTGAAGGATGTGTGTGTTAGTGGATCCAAGTCTCGGGTGACAAGAATAATGCTGGACAATATGATTGTACCATTAGAGAATATTGGCAGTTTGGATTTTGTGTTAATCAATGGTTTACTTAAAGCCAGAGCTGGTCCCAATTAGAAACGGGATTTGCAAGTTTGTGCCAGCCTGCAAATTTGACCACTCCATGAGCTCTTCTTCTTCACTAAGTTACACCATGTCTGCTTCTCCACTCAGTTACATGTGCGTCATGCCTTACCCTCTCAGGTCATCATTGCTCCGCACATTAGCTCCATTATCCTCGAATGACCAGAACACAGAGATTCACTCTTCGAGCTCCACATAACCCAAAACACAAGTAGTTATGGCTCAGAAAATGTGGCTGCTGTAGGTTAAGATATCAAGTTAAAGAGACAAAGCCCAACCTCTTCTCAGATTCTTATTTCTCTTTTTCTTTCTTTATCAAACTACCATGAACTCCAAAACATGGAGTTGATAATTCAGGTACAATTTAAAATAATAATTTAGCACCAAACGTCCACGTTGTGTTTTCGTACTTCGTTGTATTTAAAATATTGATGTCCCAACTTCTTTTTTCTTAACACAAACAACAACGTTCTAACTAAAAGTTACAAAACCAAGTGGTGGTAATTTTTAAGGCTTGGCGTGATGGTCCGGTCTGAGCGAACTGATAGGTTTTTTTTTATTTATTTTTTTAAAAAGCTAAAAGAGTTATACGCATGGTGTCGGTTAGAACTGGGAAAAAAAATCCGAGTCTGAAAAATCGAACCGAACCCAATCCGAAAAAGTAGTACCAAACTCCAACTGAAATTTATTAAATATCTGAACGGATTCAAAATTTTGATATCTAAAAAACCGAAACCGAACCCAATCCGAACCAAAATATTTGGGATACCTGAATGTATCCGAAATAGATTTATATAGCTAAATATATTAATTATTTTTAGATTTAATGTATGATAAAAACATCCAAAATATATAAGATACTTTTAAAATTGTGTAAATACTTAAAAATATATACAGATAGTCAAAATAAATGTTCAAAATAGACAAAGTATACTCAAAACAACAAAAATATTTGAAATATCTATTGATTTTCTATCCAAATATTGAAACCAAACAAATTTATATATTAAGTTTGAGTATTTTGTCATGTGTTATTCAAATTTATATGTAATATATTATTTTGTTTATAGTTTTTTAAAATTTTGGATATGTGTACTCTATCAAATAATTTATATTTGTTAAACTTTCCAATATCTATTACATATTTAAATATAAATAATATTTTAAAATAAATTAAGAATTTATGAAAATAAATCCGGGCGTAGCCCGGAAAAGATTCTAGTATATGTAATAGTTAAAAAAACTAACAAATTTTAACAATTCATAGGTGCAATAAAGATTATATGATATCAGTTCCTAAATATTTAAAGAGGAGTAATTAACACATATAAGAGGCGCAAGGGTGGTTTTAAAATCATAACAATAAGCAATTACCATTCATAAATGGTGAAATGATATAGATAAAATGTTTGGAAGGGAAAGAACTCTAAAAGATGCAAACTGAAAGGAAACTAAACTGAGAAAAAATAGAAACTTAAACTGAACAGAACCATTCAATTCTTGATAACCATGCACTCATTTAAGAGTTTTGGTCCGCCCTACGGGCGGAATGTTATAGTAAAAACTATTATATATTTATTTATTTAGTTTTGTGAAGCATTAAATCATTATAAATTGAACAAACAAATAATAAATTGTCTGAGATTGTACTAAACTTTTTTAGTTTGAATTAAAAGGACAGTAACCTACATTATTCTTTATTTCGGAGGATATAAAATTAGCAAAAATAATTCAGAAAATGTAATATATATATATATGTATTTCTTATTATTTTATTTCACTTCGACATAGTCAAAGAAAATCTAACATTTAAATGAATCATAGTGAATTGCATAAGTTAGTTTTGTATATCCTTAAAAGTTAGAAAACAAAGAGATACATAACTACTAATTGATTTAATTTTTTTGGACCTTTCGTTTGTGATCCTAAAACCACCTCCAAAGGTAATTCTTCTATAGGATTCCACAAATATTTATACATATATATATATATATATATACATAATACATATGTTAAAAATTTTAATGGGAATAATCTCCATTGGAGGTGCTCTAACGCTTGTTATATCACTAACTATTTACTATTTTTTTTGTTGACAAATGCATTTTCTTAAGACTTTTTGGTTTATTTGAAACATTTATGATGTATTTGTTTTGGTTGCCTTGACGACTGTATATTAACAATATGGTGCCTTTGGTTATGTAGTTTTAGTTTATTTCCTAGTCTAAGCAATTATGATTTGTTTCCTTACAAAAAATTAATGAAACAATTATGTTTTATCAGTTTTTGGGTGTTTGAAATCTTCTTAACAGTTTCTCTAGGGTTGGACATTTTATCCATAAAGTTTGAATCGACTATTTTGATTTGAAAATTCCAGATATCCGTAAATTTTTGAAGCAAAATAAATATTAAAATTCAATATCCATTAAAAATGAAGTAAATCACAAATATTAATAAATTAGAATCGGATATCTGATCCGTTCCAATATTTATAAAAATAAGTGTATATATACAATTAAATATAGAAATTTAAATGCATAATTTATATAATTATTATTTTAATATATAATTTAATCAATTATATTTATAAAATTACATATAAAAGTATTAACTTAAGAAAGGAAGATAAAATCTTTATAAAACTATAATTTTCTTAAAATTTTATGTTATATTTTAAATTAACTAATTTTAAAAATTTGTGAGACATATAATTTCACTAATCTTTGTTATCTAAAATATATTTTTGGAAACAAACATGTATAGTTTTTAAAAATAAAATATTTATATTGAACAAAGTGGATGAAATATCCATAAATTTTTCACAAATATTATCTGTAATTTTTCGAAACAAAGCAAATTGAAAAATTAAATATCCGTAAAATACAAAGCAAACTGCAAATACGTAAAATTATGGTAGTATTCGATCCATGCCACCCCTAGTTTTATCTATGAATATGTCAGCCAAGTAAAGATCATATAATTATATATTTAAGTGCACATTGGTCCTAACTTTGTGAAATCCTCTTGACAAACTTAAATAGATTTCAACTAAAGAGAATAATATACCATGTTAGTATAATATTCCCCTATGTAAGAAGTGTCAGAAAAATAATCCAGAAACATTGTTAAATTTTCAGTTTCAGATTCTAGTAATGTTTAAATGCAAGTTTTGTTCGTCTGGAGTTATTTTTAATATAATTCAAAATAATTCTGTATTTTTGTGTACTATCTTCTATAAACACAGTGGAACCAAACTTATTGGTCCTGATCCACATAAAATCATTAGATAGAAGACAACAGCCTAACACCATAGTTTGTTTTGACACATTTTCGATAATTTAGTTAGGAGTTCGCAGAGAAAAAAAAAAGAGTATATTTAGTTAAAAGCTTCCTAACAAAATATGAACAAATTAGTGTAGTGTCTAATATGAAACTTACTCTAACTTAACATTTTTCTTTTTAGTGGACCTCTGAGAGTCCCAAACCAATGCCCTCATGCTTTCCTAACCATGTCATGTCTTCCTCTTAAAGGTTTTGGTTTTGTGAATTTCTATTCAGGTCTTTTGTGAGTGTATATATATATAATGTTTCATTACTCACTATTAGCTCAAAAGTTGTATAAATAGTTTTTGATGAATACTTTTAACATCTCAAATTATATTTTTTAACACATTTTAACATGCAGAGGAAGTGAGTTCTTCAATGCTTATATTGCGTTTACTTAATTTGAGCTTAAAGGAAGACATGTATATTGATAGGTTAAATACCACCCACCATGTTGATTTTAATTTAAAATAGAAAAAGTTCTAAATTATAGTGAATAGCCAAACGAAAAGAACGATATAAAACATAAGGAAATGTAATGGTGATTTATGTTTTATAGGTGGATCTAATCTTAATCGTGTCCCCTTCTTTCTATTCTTTGGGTCAACAATCTGATTGTTTAATGCTGAACGCCCTCCTTCTGGTACAACAGATGCAGGGGCGGTCTCAGGATTGGATATTAGTGGGGTCAGAAAAATTAAAATGTCACTAGTGAGAGTCAAACCCAGATTTTTGAGGGTTCAGAAGCTGTGTTTTACCAACTCTGCTGCCTAATCTTTGTTGTTTTCCTATACGAATCAGCATATTATTGACCTGAACAATCTCACATGGCAGTGACGTGGCAGAAAATGCAGTCCTTATTAGCTGATTAAATTGGCTGACGTGACATAGCTCATAGGCTCTTAATAAGAGTTTTTAACTATGGTAGATTTTTGGGATATGGATATGTTTTCGGGACCTTTGAATTCTAAATACCCAAAACGAACCGGATCTGATACATATCCGGAATTTTACCAGTCCTTTATAGTTTGTAGGTACACTATTTGGTCTTGTGATCCAAACGAACCGACATATCACATGTACACCTATATGGGTCGAAAACCGATGGACCCGACCCGAGTGCCTAGAAGAGAAAAAAACAAAAAGAAGAAAAAAATCGAGAAAAACAAGAGAAAGAGAGAGAGAGAGAGAGAGCTTCAAGTTGGGGGAGGGGGAGGTGGCAGCTCTAACAACTTTATGTGCTCACAGAAGAACAGTCGCCGGTGAAAAGTCTCATCTCACCACCGTTCGAATCTCTTACACCGACTCTTAACCGAGAAGATTATCTACTGGCGATGGGAGACGAGAAGCCGACGGTTGTGATGGCCAATCGAGAAAGAGATCTGGAGCTTCTGATGCCCGTCGCTGATAAAGAAGAAGGCTCTACTTCGAAGCCGTCTTCTTCATCTTCTTCTTCCTCTTCTTCTTCGCATCAAGCTAGCCACGAGGTCTACTTTCTTTCTTTCTCCTGATCTACGATGTTCTTCCTTTTGCTCATTTCAAGATTCATGTGAAATTAACTAACTGCAATTCGATTGAATTTAAGCTCCCAGTTCCTCTTTTGAGTTTAGTGTTCGAGTGATTATCTGAGAAATTGATTTTCCCTAGATTCCATCTATATCATTAATTAGATATAGTGTGTTGGTTTCTTATTTGAAAGACATTAACTTTGACGCTTTCTGATTGTAATTTTGCATCCCAAGTGTTTTTGCTTTGGAGAATTCTTGAATCTATCTTGGCCTTTGTGTTGTGTTCATACACAGACACATAGAGAGCAGTGTGATTTGATTACTTTAGCTGTTTTTTTCTTCTGCAGACTCTAAGCTTGTTCATTAGGGGTTGGGCGTCTAAGAAGTTCATGACTGGCTGGTAGTAACCAAGACTTTATATTTGTCTTTTGATCTCAGATTCAAATCTTGTGTTTATTAGTTTCTCACCTCAGTTTGGCTTCTCTTTTTTTTTTGCAGTGTTATCCTACTTCCCATTGCGATTACTTTCTATATAACATGGTGGTTTATTCACTTTGTTGATGGATTCTTCTCTCCCATCTATGCACAGCTTGGAATCAACATCTTTGGTAAGCAGTTTGCATGTTCCCTTCTGATCGAATCCAATCACCATCTGGTGTGGTGTCTGAGTTTTGGTTTTGTAGGTTTCGGTTTCTTGACTTCAATCGCATTCATCTTCTTGGTTGGGGTGTTCATGTCTTCATGGTTGGGGGCTTCGGTTCTCAACTTGGGCGAGTGGTTTATCAAGCGTATGCCATTTGTTCGTCACATCTACAACGCCTCCAAGCAAATCAGCACTGCCATTTCTCCTGGTCTCGCTTTAAACATGAAAAAAACCTCATTTTTTCCTTCTTAACACTATGAATTTTCTAGTCTCAGCCTCTCTGTTTATATCCATGTTTGTTGATAGATCAAAATACACAAGCTTTCAAGGAAGTTGCTATCATCAGGCATCCACGTGTAGGCGAATACGCATTTGGATTTATTACATCAACTGTTGTTCTTCAGGTGAGAGTACAAGAGATTTCGTTATTGTTTCTTCAACTTCTCCTAACTTATGAATTACAAAAGGGTAGACACAATTTTTGTGCATCATATATGTATAATGCTCTTTTTTCCTGCAGAATTACCCAACAGAGGAGGAACTTTGCTGTGTATATGTTCCAACGAACCACCTTTACATCGGAGATATACTACTTGTCAACAGTAACGACGTTATCAGGCCAAATCTCTCGGTCCGGGAAGGCATAGGTGAGATCACAAAGTCTTTTTTCAGACTATTAACAAAGTTAATTTGCAGAAAGCTACTGAACTTAATATTGTTATATTCATTGCTGATGTGCAGAGATTGTTGTTTCGGGTGGAATGTCAATGCCGCAGATTCTATCTACACTAGATAAACCGGCAGCCTCCATCGACAGAGCTACAAGCGTATAGAGAAACTCATGAAGAAAACGACACTTTCTAGTTTTGTTGGGATTTTGGGGATTGTGGTTTTTGACTGTTTGATGATGAGTGGTGTGTGTCTCTTCAGTTTCTTCATTGTTGTAACGTTCCTCCCATTTGTGATTTGTGTGTTTACAAAAAAGTGTATAATGTAAGCTTAGCTCTGTATCCTTTCTTAGATATTGATGAATTCTTATTTCAGTTGAAAAAGCATTGAGAGTTGCAAGAACTGTCTATTATCCTTCTAAAGCAACAGAATTTGATTTGGTTAATTTACTTCACAAGAAGTAGCTGTTTGAATATTTTCAAGAACATGAAACATTCTTCTTGTATCCCACTCAAATATAATAAGCACATAGCCTTCTAACAAAAGAAAAAATCTTTAGAAGAAACATTACTATGTAAAATAGTCGAGTGGACTACGTAGCAGCAATGCAATGTACACGGATAGTGACAACAAGTCGTAAAGAAACATTTATAAATCTGAACGAAGAATTTTAATGGAAGAAAGTCTAATAACACAACTTTTGTGAGCAGTTATTGTAATCATCTGCCAATGTTGGTGGAGTTACCTCATAAGTTAGGCATAGAGACGCGGATTCAACTGCAATTATTGCTCTCTGTAAAATAATGTTAGGAGGAGTAAATGTTTTGAATCATAGGTCTTTCTTCTCAGCCAGAGCTTGAGGTTGTTGAATTTGAGTGTGTGAAGAAGATTGCTCGGAAGGATGTTGTATTGTGCTCTGTGAAACTCCGTTTGTGACTGCTCCTTGTTGAACCACCGGCTCCGTCTTCACAGCAGCGTGTACAGGTGACTCTGTATCCATCCTTGACAAAGAACACTTTGATTCTGCAACAAACAAACAAAAACCGCTTTTAGAATGCGAATCTTCTGTTTGGCAGTAAACAATAGTAGCTTTTATAATGAGAGAAAAGATGTAAACCTTTTAGTTCTGCGTATGAGATTATTCGGTTAAGGCAGTCACGGAACTTGGTTAATACCATTTTCTCCTGATCTGCATAAACCTGGTCTTGCCCGTTTGGTAGCTGCGAGGAACAATTAGATGAAGCTGCAACCATTAACATAGTGTCCTGTTCATCACACATCAATGCCAACGTTTCTGGAGACAGTGACTTTCCTTTAGAGCCATCTGAATTGGACTCCTCTGCACCAGCTTCATTTCCACTCGCAGCTTTCTCAATCTCTGTACCATTATTATTGGCTTGCGCTAAGGAAGTTTCTGCCTGGTCTGCCAACCGTTTTTCTGTTGATGTCTTGGCTGCCTCCTCGGATACAGCAACCAAAACTGAACAAAGTGCTTTCACATCCTGTGGTTGAATTATGTCTGCCAAGAGAGACCTTTAAAAGAAAACAAATGATCTGTAACTCAGCAGTTTCTGCAATTTCTGGATCAGATTTAGCATTTTTTATTGGGGTAAACACATGAGGCATTTTACCTATATACAACTTTGGATGGGCCTCCACGAAAAGAAACAGGTTTTGAAGATGTAGTCTTCCCGCTACTTCCCTGATACCAATAATGATAATACAATAAGTTCTCATTTTCCTAATCATTCATTAATCAGACCACGTAAGTAAACTTGGGAGCTGATTTTACCTGGCCAAGCCTATTAGAAGATGAATCTTTGGTTCCTTGGTTGAAGAAAATGTCTTGAGATTTCTTTCTCTTAGGAGCAGGAGAAGATGCAAAGCCAGAGGAACCTACAGCTCCAGTTATGGCAGCGTTTGTGTGTTGGAGATAAGCCGCACTATGGGAATGTTCACCGTGAAAGAGAGCTTGCCTGTCTTCACTCCCTTCAAAGTTTTTGCAACCCAAGCACTTGCAGTTGTCAGAACAAAGAATGTTTGCCTGGAAGCACTCACAGTACTTCTTGAGACATCCCGATTTCTTGCAGTGACAGCCTTTGTGGTGCTTCCCTAACATCACAGCTCCACCAACCACCTCCTGCAATTCATAAACTTGCTTAAGCAGCAGCATAGGACCAACACTTAAAAGCAGCACACAATATATAAATATACCTTGTTATCTCGTGCGTCGTGTGGACTGCTAGCGATCTTAGGCCTGAAGGCATATGGATTCCGTTCGAGAGTTGATTCAATGGCTTCTCGTCTCGCGGGTTCATTGTCAACATTGTTGCAACAATTTAAACAGTTGCAACCATCACAGTATGTGCCAGATGCAAAACATTCACAATACCTGACCAATACAACATTTGTGTGTTTCAAGTTTCATCGAATTTCACTCAATCCATATGAAGTGTCTATTAAAGAGAAAGAGCTTACAGCTTCAAGCAGCGTGAGTGTTTACAGTTACAGTGTTTCTTCTTCAAAGGAGTTCCATCTCCAGCTTCCACCACGGGCCTTGGCTTAGGCTTCGGTGATTCAGGCTTCCTAGTGATTAAACCATAAGACACAAGCGTGAGATTTTTAAAATTCAAAAGTTGTTTATACTAATTTGTACAAAGAAGTATGCTTTCAATCCCAAATCTGAAATTCAGCTACTTTAGAACAATCAAAGAAAGATCTACGATTTCAAAAATAAAAAAGTTTGAATTTTGAAACTTACGGAAGCGTGATTGGGGCTTGAGATTGTAAAGGCGGAATGGAAGTGACTTCCATGGATGTGGCAGGAGCTTTATTAGCCACAGAGCCACCAGCGAAGTCGAGTTGCCTCGCCGTCGTCTTCTTCATCGGGACATCAGACTCTTCTGAACCTTCCATTTTAGGCGGGAATTCGTCTCCTTCTCCCATCTAAAGATTTCGAATTTCTCAGTTGTATATATCTGAATAAACCCGAAACAATTTCTCCCACAAGGCTCAGAGTTTATAATCAACACAACAAATAAAACAAATCAGCTCGAGAAACAGAAAGATCTGAATCCGAATCCGAATCCGAATCTTAGTCTCTCCCGTACTAGAAACCCCTCGAGCCGAATCGGCGTCTACTGAAACTCAAACGGCAATTTTCGAATTCGAACTTTGATCCACTTGCATGGAGATTGATAGATCAAATTAGGGTTTCGAAGGGTTTAAGCAGCAGGAGAAGAAGAGAGATTTGAAGAAAAGACAGAGACTTTGGGTTTCTTCTTCTTCGTATTTGAGAGAGAAAGAAAGAGCTTCTAATCGTCCCTCTCTATACATCTTTTGAAATTTCAATTTCTGTGATTATATCAGACGGATGGATTTACGATACAGTCTCATCCTACGGTTGTTGTTTGATACTCTCATCCAACGATAATTATTCCTATGTTTTGAAGTTTAGTTGCCTCTTCACCGTCCGATCGCCGCCAAAAACAGTTTTATTTTTTAATGTTAAAAGAAATAACCCATCAGAATATAGCATAGGTGTTATGAACCACTCATACACTGACACGTTCACATTCACTCGTGACTGCACAAAAACTGAGTAGCAATCTTTAAGAATAACGCTTTTGGCTCAAAATGTTGGTTTATCCCCGAAAATTCGTATATACTTTCAAACATTAAAAAATACACCCAAAACTCTACAAAGAACAAATAAAAGCCTTAAATGGCTACTACAAAAGGTCATGAGTTTTGAAAATCATTACAAAATACTTTTTTTATAATTATAAAATATTTTTCGTTTTAGCAGAAATTAGTCTGAATTTCTTATAATCATAAAAGAAGATAAACATATAATCCATCATAAATTTTAAATATTAAAAAAATATTAATTTATTAAAGGTAGTAATAATTGCAATAGTTATTTATGTTATTGTAAACTTTAAAAAAATATTACTGACGATTATATGGTAGTCACTATGTTTTTCCCTTTAAAATTAATTTGACAAGAAATGTATCCAGACATCTACTATAAAAAAAACTAGATCTTGACCCGCGCACCGGCGCAGGTTTAACTTAATTTGGAAAAGTATAATATATTCATAAGTCATCGGTTATTACCGTATTTCAAAAACTATGATCGTATTGAAAGTTATAGGACTGGGGTTTGATTTTGTGTTCAACTTTTGTTGGATTCTTTATGTTCGTAGTTTTTTTTAATTCTACAGATATAAGATCTGTTCTGTTATCTATATAAATTGATTTGCATCCGGTTCGATTCTTTTGTTTTGAGCTGAGTTTGGTAATAATTATAATAACCGACTAATATCAGATAAATTTTTGGTTCCAATATGATAACGGTTTGGTTACGATTTCTAGGATTAATTTTAGATTAATCGAGGTAAAACTGATTTTGGGGGGGAGATAGGTGTTTCGGATAAATATCCAGTTACGAAAACAAAATTTTAATATTTTAGTTAAAACTATTCAAATATTTTGTGTCTTTATGATAATTTGAATAATGTAAAATACTTTAGATAAAATATATTTGAGTATTAAATTATTTGAAATGTAAATTTTTATTATCTTAAAAACTGATGTTATTTTTAAATTAGTCAAAAATAAATAAAATTGAATATGGTCTTTATATAAAATATAAATTAAAAACACAAATTATTATAATGGGCCAAATGATTAAAGTCAATCATAATATAAAATAAATTAAACAAAAGCCCAATTCTATTATAACAATGTTTAAAAGCCCAACTCTATTAAACTTATAGCCAAACAATATTAAACTCTTTATTACTACTATTTAAGTTTCCAAACAAACCTAAAGAGTACTACAACTTTAATAAGATAGATATAGCCACATATAACTTCCTATGTTATTGAGTCCTCGAAGGCACTCCTCTTAAAATAATTAAAAACAAACTTGATTTTTATTAAATGAATTGTGTTATATGCGTATCATTAAGTTATCTAATTCGTTACATGTTAGAGAGAAGATGAGAATGATGAAATTTTTATTAAATGAATTGTGTTATGTGCGTATCATTAAGTTATCTAATTCGTATCATTAAGTTGTCATCAAGTCCTTCCATATCTCAGAAGCATCATTGAAACAAAGTATACTCCCATAGATTGGTTTAGTAACAAAATTCAACAACCAAGATTTGACCATACTATTGCAGCGTGACCAAATTCTATAATGCAGATGTGTCTCAGGTGGTCTAGGTAGAGATCCATCAACAAAGGATAACTTGTTCTTTGCAACTAGAACAATAGTAATGGCAAGGTTCCAAGTGTTGTAGTTCATACCATCTAGAGTTTCAGAGATGAAGGAAGATCCAGGATTATCGCCACTCGTCAAGAAATACGGTTAATATTGGATCCCATCAAAGTTGAATAATTCAGTTGTAGATAGTCGAGGAACAGGAAATGTAGTCATCGGAGTAGACGCATGAACATAATTCATCGGAAAAATCATCGGAATAGATGAATTTGTAACATGATTCACTAGAATAGATGAATCAGGAGGAGTCTCCGGAATAGGTCATGTAGTTGTCCTTCGAGTTGGATTCGCCGTCTTCGTCACCGGAGTAGCAACATGAACTCCACATCTTGATGATCGGCGAAGAACAACCATCGTAAAGTTCAAGAATTTGATCTAACGGAGTGATTAGATTTAAGTGAAAAGAAGAGGATCAATCGGTTAGAAACCGACAAATCAAGGTCAATGAATGCGGAAGATGAAGATCGAGAACTGAGTTTGAGCTCAGTGCTCTGATACCATGTTGGAGAATTTGAAAAAGATGAGAAAGATGTAAAATGTTTATGTTATTTCTGTTACAGAATAAAAGCTCTGTTTTTTAACGTTTACAAACATGAATCGGGAATTCGGTTATATGATTAGATACCGGTTTACACTCAAACCAGTTTATACATTTTAATTCATACTCTAATATTACATGATAGTATACTTTTATACTAACTAGATCTTTTGGCCTCGCTATGCACGGCTAGTTTTTTAAACAAAATTTCTAATTATATTGTTTATATATATATAATATATTGTATAATTAAACTTATAACTAACAACAGAATAAATAAAGTATTAAATTAAATAAAAAAATAACGATTGGAAAAATCATTGTAGTTAATTCAAAGTAAGAGTTTCATAAGTAATACTAATAATGACCATTTTTTTTACAAAATATAGATTTTCTAGTTTTTTTTTAAACAGAACCCTCATTTTATTTTTGGTATAAATAACTTACATAATAATTACAGTAATATTTTAATATGTTGTTTTCTATCTTCAAAATTGGTAGAAATAAACTTTATCAATATCTGAAAATTAAGTATATAAAATGAATTGACTTTTCTGTAAGTTTAAAATGAAATTGTATAAATTCAAGATTCTATATATTTTGTTGTTATGAGTAATGTTTATTTATTCTATTTATTTATAAACTTGATGATATTACTCTATCCTTACCATCAATGTTTTGAATACCAAACCAAACATTAACTTGACCTTGCAGTTAGGTCAATGGTCACACCGGTCCAACTGGGTTGTAAATTTAATTGAATTTTAAATTAAGTATCTTTATGTACGTAACTATAAAATTATATTTATAAGACTTTTTATCATCGTTTGAAGCTAAAATGATATGGAAATAAAATAAAAACTACAAAAATAATATAAAATATAATGAAAATAATGTATTTAAATAAATATTAAAAACAATACAGGTTTTTATGAAAGTTTTTTAAAAATTTACATTTTTAACTTGAATTTGAAAAAACAAATCAGCGTTTAATATCAAATTAGACCATCGGTTTTAGCGAGTAATCCGTTTTTAAACCGAATTTGTTAGTTTTTAGCACAACTCAAAATTGTTTAGAAGAGAGAGAGTCATCCAACCAGCTTCTTCCGGTTTTTAAAACACTTCTTGTCACATAGCATCGCTTTTAATAACAAACAACAAAATCATTTTAGTAGACATATTTTTATTATGAACTTATGTCAAAAACCATATAAATATTTAACTGAAGTTTTTATTTATTGTTTAACCATTTAAAATAATAATCCATCTTAATTTTTTTTATCAAGTTTCCAAATACTATGCAATGTGAACCAAATTTTATGCATGAATAGATCAAAATATAACTTTATAACAAAGACATAAAAATTTGTGTGACCATCATAATTATACATTTAACCAAAGATAGTCATTTGAACTTGAGAAAATCAATCTTTTTTTTTGTTTAAAAGGAAAGGATAATCTAGTATATAAACCTTCATGGGTTGAACTTTTTTGATTCAACTTGCATAATAGTCTATATTTTGTTACCAACTTATGTATTTAAATAACTGGTTGAAATAGTAATATACAAATATTTGTGAATATTCTTTAGGTCCTATAATATTCGTTTTTTTAGATCTAATACCCAATCATTATAAATATTATGTGCGTAGTTCCGCGCAAGCGCGGGGATGTTGATAAATATATGTGTTGTTGTAGTTTTCGGATTTATATTTCTTGTAATGTTATGAAGGAAAAATCATATAATGTGCTATTGTAGATGAGAAAGTCATAGTATAGTATGAAATGTGAGGAAAATAGGGGAATGAGTAATTGTGTGTTAAATGTCTAAGTTTGTATATCTCATTAAATGCAAACGTGTATGAAGAGAACGGCCGCCAAGGTAACAAATATATCATCATATGATAAATCATTTGTTTTTAGTTTAAATGATTTTATTCTAACTAATATATGGTATGTTATTTTTGCAAAATTTTTTAAAAAATTATTATTTTGAATTTGTATGCTGTAAAAGACAAAAAAAAAAATCAGTTTCATCAAATGACTAAATTTTCTTATAAGATTGTTGAGATTATTAATGAAATTGTGTCTATTTTTATTTTGTTGATATAGATATTTTAATCTGTTTTTTTAGTATAAGTTATCTAATTTTATTTTTGTTACTTATTTTTTATCAGGGTATTTTACATTGGCTTTTGTTGGACCACGCAAGTATAAATATTTTATTTTCATTTTTGTATTAAATTATGCTCGAGATTTTTTTTAGTATTTTGTAAAAGTTTCACATTTAATTAAATAAACTAACCCTATATTTTGTGTTCACAATAATCTTAAACATATA